CTTGGGATGGCAGTGGGGGAGCTTCCTTCCGGGTGCTGGGACTGGCTCACCTTCTCTGCCCTAGGAGCCTGAGATGGAGGCGGGGAGCTTCCTTCCGGGTGCTGGGACCAGCTGAGCTTCACTGCCCTAGGAGCCTGGTATGGCTGTCAGGGATCTTCCTTCTGGGTGCTGGGACCAGCTCACCCTCTCTGTCCTAGGAGCCTGGGATGGAGGTGGGGAGCTTCCCTCTGGGTGCTGGGACTGGCTGAGCTTCCCAGGCTGTGTCGTTCTTGAGAGATTCCCCTGCCCCTGTTTCTGCTCTGTGTACCCCGGAAATGTGCTGCTTGTAGGGCGGCCTCTCACAAAGCTCACTTGCTCAGGCACATAAGTTGTGTCCTTCAACTCGCGCAGTTATTAGGGATAAAACTGAGAGTCTAATTTCCAGAGGCTTTGTGGTTAGAAAACTGGCCCTCGGAGCCAAAATGAATGGGTTCAAGTCCTAGCTCTGCCACTTGCTGATGTGTAAATATCTATAACGTTGATGAGTTCGATTTCTTTTCTAGCCAAAGGGGAAGATAATAGAACATGCTTCATATTTCTGTTGGGAGGATGAAGTGAGTTAGTGTGTCTAAAACATTTGGAACAATGGCTGCCCTCAAAAATCTATAGGTAACAGTGTTAATTGACCGTGTTTATTTGTTTATTCAGAATGTGATGGGGGTGGGGTGGGTGGTGGAGCCTGGGCCCACCAGGGGCCCATTCCTGGGTCCTGCTTCTCCTCCGGCTCCCCTCTGGTGGCTCCCTCTTGGTTATCCCAGCTGCCCTCGCCGTCATGCTCATGAATTCTTGCTTGATACATGTGTTCACTTTCCTATTTTAAAACAGAGTATCTGCTGTGGTGGAGAAGAAGTGAGTTAAATGGAAATAGTGTATGTCACCTCCTCTGTCCTCCATTATGGTCCCTGCACCCATGGGCTGTGAGCAGTGGTGTGTATGCCCCTGTCTCTTTTGGCAGTCTTTCTAAACATCAGGTTGTTCTGGATTGGACTTCAGGAAATAGTGCTTGTAGACACACCACTGTTTGGTAATTATCTTTGGTCCTTGGCCTGGCTTTAGTAGGCATCATTAAAAGCTGAGCTCTTTGGAGAGACCACACCCCACCCCCCTGAGCCAGGTCCTTCCTAACTCCTGTCCCATTTGGTAAACTTTTTGTTGATGGTCACGGGCCAGGTGCCTATGAGAAAGTAAGGTAACTGCTGTTCCGGAAGAACGTGTAGGCCAACAGTGCTTAAACCTCACTCCAGCGGGTCCTATGGGGAAACCAGGGTGTGTATTAGGCTTTTATCCCACTCTCCACATCATTTAAAAATTTGTCTGTTTTTCTTTGTTTGTTGGGCTTCCACTGAATTTATTCCGAAGGCCCTTCTGTAGTGGCTTGACCTTCCTGACTTGGATTTGGCCAACGTTATGACCGAGCTATGTGGCCAGTGCATGGCAATGGTCAGTCACCCATGAACTCCACCAGCTGAGACCTCTGACACTGTCCTTCAGCCAGGGAGCCTCACCGTTTGCCTTTGAGAGGGACCTGCCCATGGTGAAGGCAAGTGCTATTTGCAGTAATAAGTAAACAAGGGAACTTTGAAGGGAGGTTCCATAAATTAACTCTCACGGCAATTTCAAAAGACTTCCAAAAATATGTTAGGCAGTGACAACACTGTTGAAATAAGTTTATGACTTAAAAATGTTAGAAACTCTAAAACAAGCTCTCAAAGTCAATATGTAGGACTTGTAACATTAAACTATAACTTTCCCAAAGACAGGAAATTGGACTTTGGTTTAATTTTGTAGCATGTTTGGTAAGCAAAGACTTAGGCATCCAAGAGCATCAGGAACTCACTGATTGCTCAGTTACTGAGCTGTAATAATGCATTGGGAGAACCAGTCAGAATGTCCGGCTCATTCTGTTTTTATAAAGATATTTAAAACCACCACATATTTGCATGTGCGCAGAATATTTCTGGAATATGTTTAGAATGAAGCCTTCATGGGGCAAATCTCTGCCTCCTCCTATTTCCTATTCATTAATGTGTCCTGAGATGCCACTAGGTGTAAAACAGATATTCAGGGGGATCCATACTGAGTGCATGAATGTGCATGCCATGGTGGTTTCCTCTAGGGAGGGTACTAGAGGTTGCTGGAACTATTACTTCTTGATTTATATCCACATGTGGCTTCTGCCTGGAGGAGAGCAGGAAGGAAGGATGTCCTCATCTCTCCTTGTATTTGTATTTTTGCCCATAGGGAAAGAATAAAAAACTTCCGCAGCTGGCCTTTGCCCTATGATTTCCCCTACCCCGATGCAAAGTGGAACTTGGCTGTTCCTGGTCCTCATATTCTTTTTTTATTCCTGCAGTACTGGAAATTGAACTCAGAGCCTTTGGCTGAGCAGCTACATCCCAACCCTTTTTCATTTTTTTATTTTGAGACATGGCCTTGCTGAGTTGTCCAGGCTGGGCTCGAACTTGTGATCTTTCAGCCTTAGCCTCCGGAGTGTTGGGATTACAGGCCTGCACCACCACCACCAGATATGGACCTCTTATTCTTCACAGGAAGGGCCCAACTGCTCCTCCTTCATGCACCGTTGCCACTGCATCCTGACCAGGGCCTCACTTACAGGCAGCATGGCTGTGTCTGTACCTTCAGCTTCTGCTTTCCTGCCAGCATCTTGCTCCTGGGGGTGGATGGAAGTGAGGGTGGGAGTTTGTCTTTCTCTCAGTCTGTTCAGGCTGTTTTAGCAAAACACCGCAAATTAGGTGGCTTATACACAACACAAATTTCTTTATTAAAGTTGCCAAGGCAGGGCACCAGCAGGTCTGGAGTCTGGTGAGGGTCTGCTTGCTGGTCTGCAGATGGGCTTCACATCACAGAAGGGGAGGGAGCTCTCTGCAGTCTCTTCTATAAGGCCACAACGCCTGCCCATTCACAAGGGCTTTGACCTGATTACTGTCCCAAGTACCCACCCCTGAATACCTTCAAATTGAACCTAGGTTTCAACACACAAATTTTGGAGGGACACAAAAACTCAGCTTATGACATTCCTCAAACCTGGACATTTTAGATTCAAGGAGGCCAGGTACGGAGATCCCGAGTGAGCTAAAACAGCTCAGCAGAGAAACCTGAGACTGGGAACACAGCTTTCCTGGGCTTTAATAAAAATCGCACCTCCACTCCCATTTAGCTCTTGTCCTTCTTGCAGAAGAGGGTGCAGGGTGGCAGGGGTTCAGGAACCCAGAGCTCATCCCAGTCTTATGACACCATAGTGCTTTTGTGTAACTAGGTTATATTCTTGTGCATATATTCTTTGGAAATAGATGTATGGATGAGAACATTGTAACAAGTGAGGTGTCAGTACAGGGATACTGGGTTTTCCCTCCACCTACACAACAGAGCCATTATTTTTCATAAATTCTGCTGGGAACAATTTGTATTTAGAACAGGAATGATGATAATAATTGGCTAGCAGAATGATTTGGCACTAAGAGGCTGTTTATCTGAGAAAACTGATCGGCAGAGTCATTAAATACTTCAGTGAAAATTGAAATGTAAAGGGACAGGATTATCACTCCAAAATCTTGTAAGTCTGAAAGAGAGATTAATTCAGTGGGATGGGCCGAGGGGGTCAGTGGTATATAATGTCTGCCACAGGGTGGTAATACTGCATCATGTGTCTGAGGAGAGTTGCTCCATGTAGGAACTAAGGATGTCTTTTGGATAATTTCTCACTGGTGGGACAAAAATACTTGGCACCCACAAGTTAAAGGAGGAAAAGATCATTTCAGCTCACAATCTGTAGAGGTTTCAGCTGGCTCCAAGGCAGAGGGACATGGCAGAGGGCATCACAGAGGAGAAACAGTCCATGCATGCAAGCAGGAGGCAGCGAAGCCGTGAACCTTCCTTTCCCTTTTATCTCTACCAGGCTACAAGCCTATTGGTTAGTGCCACCCATATCCAGGGTGGCCCTTCTCATCACCCACACCAAAACTAGGTTAAATCAGTCAGTGGGGGAATCCAGTTATCACACCCGTAATCTAGCACCACACACCCATGATCAAGCCACCTCCCAAAGCCCCACCTATGAATGTCTGAGGCTTTGGGGGGACATCTAGATACAAACCATAACAGTGTAGATGAAGACTTTGCTATCCTGAGATGCTTTGTGCTCATATGAACCAATAGGTTGTAAACAACATTCATGACAACAACTAACACTCACTGAACACTTGCTGTGAACCAAACATAAATTCTTTACCTGTGTCAGTCCCCTGGAGAAGCTACTATCACCCCATTTTACAGGCCAGTGTTTAGAAATGAACCCACAGAGGCGTAGGTTACACACTAATAAGGGGAGGGGTCTGCATTGTGCTGAAGGGGCTCACACAGTTGTGCACACCTCTTTCCAATTCCTCATTCAACACTACCATGCTGAGGAGTCCTTGGAAGGAATGGGCTCAAGGTGTGGCCCTGGGGTACACATTCAGATGAGGACTTCTAGGAAAGAACTCCTCTTGGACTATGGAGCTCATGACACCCTCTGATCCCCAGCCCCTCAAACCTACTAACATGGTTCTGGTCACTTACTACAACCTTCCCTGAATACATTCAACATCTCCATGCCCTCCTTCCCTGCAGCTTATCTCTCTAACCCTAATGGTCTGGTTGTATGCTGGTCTTTGCCTGTGTCTTGGATATGACCAACTTGGATACCGTAGGTCCAATCTACCCTGCACAGTAGGCTGCTGACATCAGCTCCTCTTGTCTCCACTGCCCACACCGTTTCTCAGCAACAGAAATATTAACAGTACATCACGACTGAAGAACTAGGCATTATATGTTTAAAGAGGGACATTTGAAATATTTTATTTGGGAACATACATCAATATTGAACAACACAAATCTATGGCATCCATATGTATAAGGACAATATAAATTCTTTTTAATGTATTTTTTACTTTTTTTACTTTTTATTTTATTGGTGCATTTTAGGTATACAATATAATTACATTCATCATTGGAAATTTGCACCTTTACATAGTCTCTCTTAGTTGACAATATAAAGTCTTATAATTTGAACAGTCACTGCAGTAAACAAATAAATTCATTTTGACATTGGGAATTATTCTTAAAGCATATTTTTCAATACTTTATTCATTTTCTTAGCAATATGTACATTCATTTCTTAAGAAAGAAAGAACATAAAACCAACATTTTTTTTTTGCATCACATTGTAAACAAATGGGCTTGTAAAAGCGGTGTGTAGAAAATTCAGAAACACTTAAATAGCACATTCCAAGGGTATGAAGTCCATGTAAAGGGACTTGGAAGCTTCAAAGCCATTGTATACAGCCTGGGTGTTGTGTATATGCATGGATACAAAATGGGGCAGATAATTCAAGTATGACAATTCACACGCATGGACATTTTAATCTGATGCAGGAGGAACTTCTCCCTTGTATAGCACAGAGCACATTCTAAGCTCTCAGCACAAGTCAGAGTTTTCTTTAACACAGAAGAAGAGGTGATGAGATCATCAACTCAATTTATCAAACACCAAACCTGGATGGGTGAGTATGGTTCACAAACACTGCGCAGCCAGAAAGGGTATCTCATAGGGACCGTACTTGTCACATAACTTAAAGGCTGTAGGAAAACTGTAGCAGCTAAAATCAGTCAGGAAGCCTGTAGCTGCTTCGCTGGCAAAGTGGAAATGTGTATTTTGAGCAGCTCTGAGGAGAATGCAAGCAGAAAAGCTACAGCATGCCGAGAAAAGTCATAGGGTTCATGCTTAAATGAGATCAGCCTTATTTACTAAAATACAGTTTAATTTTACAGGGAAAATGATCTCAAATCTGTCTTCCTTAATCCTGGCCAGTCAAGTGCTGCCTAATTGCCAGTTGATTGTAAAAGTGCAGCTCCAGGTCTTTCGCTTTGGCTGCTGTTTGCCCTCTCCCTGCTGTATTTGGTTTATAATAAAGCACTGGACTCCCCTCGCTAACCATGAGCCCTGCCTAAGCCTGAGCTCCTGGCCCTCCCACAATGGCATGGAAGCCACTCACTGGGGCAGTGTAGCGATGCAATTATTTTCTGCATTTTTTGTGGGACAAAATTCTTTCTTTTAAAATGTATTGCACAATGTTTTCTTGCTACAAACAATTTAACTTTTAATAACACTGAATTGCACTGTATATAACTTTCTTCTTCTTTTTTTTTTGGTAGTGGAGATCAAACTCAGGACCTTGCACTTTCGAGGCAGGCGGCAGCACCACTGAGCTAAATCCCAGGCCCCATATAATTTTCTTGTTAAGACATCCAATGCATTTGGTTATTCTTATGAATTTGTTACTTCATGTTTGATGAGAAAGAAACAGAATCTTTTTTCCTTCCTTCCTTCCTCTTTCTCTCTCTCTCTCTCTTCTTTCTCTTCCTTTTTCTTTTTTCCCCCCTGTCCTGCCATCCCACTGTAATGCTGTGCTGAACCTTCTGTAAAGAGAATCAGGTCACTGGAAAAGCAAGGCCTTTGGATTGTCAGCCAAGCCGAGCAGAGTGGCTCTGTCAGGAAAGTCCCTGCACTTACAGTGCTGGCTCTTCCTGCGAGCTCTTCCTAGGCTTAAGAAAAGAGCAAGAAGCAAAGCAAGTGTGGTTTGCCTGAGGATCTCGGGGGAGGGGTTCACCAAGCCAAATGGCTGCCAGGCCCATTACCCGGGGGGCCTGGCAGATTGAAGGGGGAAACCCCAGCACACGCATGAGATTTGCCAATCCTGGGTCTTAGCACAGCAGTGCCCCTTCCTTGCTAGGAACAGCCTCCTCTGCTCTCCACTCTATTTTGTCCTCCAGGTTTCCACTAAAGGTCCCTGCATTTGAGAAGCCTGAGGCTGGGAGGATGCTTTCCTCCTCCCTCCCAGGTGTTGCATGAATATGCAAGTCAGGATGCTTACCACACCCTACTGTGCTTGGTGATTCCCCACTGCTCTCCAGGACCACAGCAGCTTGTGGGGCAAGGACTGCATCTCCACCCCTGTTATTCTCTACTCCCTGGTGAATACTGCATCCTGGCTAAAGAACTCAGAGCAGGTGGGTGCCGGGCAGCTTCCTTTGGAGGAAGGAGCTTGCGTTTTGCAGCATGGCTTCCTCTACTTCTATGAATGTAATACAATCTGGGGGACTTTCACTTTTCAGGATGCAACAGGAAGAGTTGTACTAAGCTGACTTTCAAAAAGCTGAGCTGCTGTTCCAGTGTTGACACTAGTGATATGTTGGATTTGTGCTGCAGTCAGACGGATGCTTGATAAAGAAGGATTCATGTGCCAAGCATAACTTCGTGATTCCTGCGGGGACTGAAAAGGACACAGTCACAGTAGAGGTTGTTGGGCTGTACCCCCTCCAGGGGGCAGTTAGGACAGCAATCATGGACAGGGAGCTGCTTTGTGTAATGTGTATATGTCCTATTATAAAGCGACATAGATTGCTGGGCATGGTGTAATCTCAACACGTGGAAGGCTGAGGCAGGAGGATCTTGAGTTCAAGCCCAGCCTGGACTACATAGTGAGACTCTGTCTCAAAAAATAAAACAGTAAGGTATTTTGACCTTAATGTATCACACTATAGTTTTAATATTCTAGGCATCATGCATCAATGTGGCAAAAATTTTGTTCTATTGTAGAGTACGAATTCTTACCCCAAATCCAACGTGTGCATATTTCCAAGTTTGGATTGAGGCCCCAGCTCATCTCCCCATCAGCCAGATCCCAGAACCAAGAGAACTGGACATTCTTCCTTGTCATTTGGGCCAACACCAGTGCCTTTGCTCTTGCCATAACTTAGCAGCTGATTCTTAAAAGCCTGAAGACCAAAATAGCCATGGACTGTGTTTATCCAAAACAGGGTCAGGCCAAGAACCTCATCCCCAAAAGTGATTTTTTCCCTCTGTTTGAAGCAAGTCTGAATTTCCAATTCACCGAGAGACTATTTGGCAGGGGATGGCGGCATGTTCCTGCTGAACACAGCCTCTGAGCTGGGCCGGGTCGCGTGGACTTTTCCTTCAGGACACCCACTTGGGAGGCTCAGGGAGACCCTTGCCAGGCCCTCCAGAAATGCAGGCATCTGCCTGGAATTTGAACTGAGCCTGTGCCCCGGGGCTCCCAGGATCCGGACCAATTCTCGCTGAAATCAAAACTGCTTCTGTCAAGATGGGATTTGCTGTTTGGTTTTGTAAACATTTACTTCTGGCGATTCCCAAGCAGTACTCATCCCACTTCCTCAGATGGCTTTAAATGCAAGCTCTGTGTGAGATCCGGTCCCTTCTTCTGTAAACGAAATGTTTCTTTCTCATAATGTCAGTTACATGAACACACACACACACACACACACACACACGCACACGCACTTCTAGTGCAATGACTGAATTTCATGTAGGGTCTTTCACAGGACAGCTCTGATAATGTAAATACTTCCTAATGCCAAGTAAGTAGCCAGTGAGAGATGACAAACGCCAGCCCTGGACACACTTGCTGTGGGTGTCTAGTGTCCTGAACTTGGTAGAAAGCTTCAAAGTAAAATAAAATCTCTGGGTGGGAATAACTCCAACCCAAAGAAGATAGCACAGTGCATTTGTGTTTTGGGGCCTTGAGGAGGTGCTGAGAGCAGAAGTGGTTCCCACAGCCTGGGCGTAGGGATGACAGCGTGGGTCAAGGCCCGGCCCCTGCTCTGTGACTTCCTTTCTTATTAAAGACAGTGAGTTGTCTTCAGGGAGTGACGAGCCACCCCGGAAACAGGTAACTTGAGCAAGGTGGAGAGCAAAGGAAGTGGAGACTTTCTCTTTTCCAGCGAGTGAAATGTTCTGTGCCTGACAGAAATAATGACTTCCGTCCACAGCAGGTGGGAGGGGAAGGAAGGCGAGGAAGGCGTGTGGTGGCCATTGGTGTCCAGGATGACTGCATACATTTTACCCATTCGTGAGGCGTCTTCCTGCTTGTAATTTCACTTGCTCCCCATTTGCAGGTGAAAACATGGGGCCAGAGAGGTCAAATGACAACCTGAGGGTCCCTGGGAGATGTGGACTGTGACGCTCACCCTTGGCTCTTCGCACACCACTACTCTCAAGGCCCTGCTGGCCCATCCTGTGCAGGCTCTGGGGAGGTCAGGTTCAGGTTGAAGGGGAGCGCCCGGAAGAAGGGACACGCAGGCTCCGCTCTTTCCAGGCTTCCCCCTTCCCCTGCAGACCTCACCCCTCTCTTCCTCTCCTGTCTGGCTCTCTGTGGAAATACTTTGGTAATGTGACTAGAATCTAGCGCCTCACCATCTTGAGAAGTGCGAAGCTCTTGGTTTGCAGCAGACGCTCCAGAAATACAGGTTTTGCGATGTAAACCTGACCCTGTGCAATCCATCACAGTTGCCTGGCGAGGAGTGAGAGAATTGGTGGTCTGCAGTACTGGGTTAGGTTCCTGTGGAAATACAGCAAAGTGGCCTGCTTGTAACTCATTACGGCCAGAGGCAAACACAGTTGTTTTCCTTCACATCTGATGAAGAAAGCACGTGCTTTGGTTCAGGCTTTCAGGGTCGTCAGCTCTCACTTGAAGCATAGGTATCAGGGTTGCACGGGATGTGCAGGAGAAGAAGGTGCAGCTCAGCCCTGCTTCCAGAAAATGAGCTGAGATCAAGCCAGGGACCTCACTTTTTAATTCAGTTACTCCTCACTAAGTGCTTCACTCCTAAAAGTCTGTAAAGAACTGGCAATAAATTGCTACTTAAATATTTGTAATACTTCCATGTTTTGCTCTTAACGTTGCTTTGTAGCATAGTTTTTAAAAGTCACCCTACTTGTCATGTTGAATTTGGGCAACCTTATTTGTAGATTAAAGCTGCTCACCCACCTACTATTCATCAGTGTCCTGTCCTTCTCTGCTCTTTACAAAGCCTGTCGCCTCTGGTATGGTGCAAGGGCCAGAAGAGTGGAGATGCTGGGGGGCCAGGAGTGCTCATCCCAGTGCTCAGCTTTTGATGAATGGGCCCTAGGCCTTCCAGCCTTTGAGATCTCAGTTAGCTGAACACGTTTCATAATGAAAGATAAGGCTGGAGTTAGAGAAAGGAATGCAGATCAGGTGGGAAGAAAGACTTGTAGCGGATGAATCAATAGTAAGCCCTGGGTCTGGGGTGGGATGTTTGGATTGCGTAGGTCCTGCCTTTCTCTATGACTTTCTGTCATGACTAGATTGGACACCAGGGTATCAGATGCAGGATGTTCCACCATGGCTGATATCTGGGATCAATCTGAGAGCTCCTGGGAATGGGAACAAGGGGACAGGAGACTATAGCAGTGGCATCTTTTGCACAGGAATCATTGCCAGCAGGGGCTGAGCTGTTGGAGCAGCCTAGAATTCCCTACTGCTGAGCTCCGCACTCTGAGAAGGCTGTCACCGTAACTGTTTAGAGACCTCAGGGCTGTCCACTATTACCTGGGGCTTCCCGGGTATTTCCTAGTTTCTGTGCAGCTGGTCTCCCAGCTCGGTCCAGAATGAGTGGGCTGCCATACTGAGCCTGCTCAAGCCCTCCTTTTGTGCTCAAAGGAGAAAGTGGTGATGCTACTAAGCGGAACTGGTATTTCCAGTTCCTTCTAGCTGGGCTCCTTAGCCATTACATTCCATGCCCCACCGAGAGCCTGCCACAGAGTCCCCTCCCTCGACACTCTGGCCCCTGCCCTGGGCCATGGGAACTGAGCTTTATTTCCAACCAGGGTTGTTTTCTTCTTCCTCACTGCCCATTAGGATGGAGAGAGGAAGGGCAAGTGCCCCCTGCTAAGCACCAGCTTGGGGAAATATGCTTCGCGGCCGAAGGAAGGCTAAACGGGATTCCCACAGCATTGCCATTAGCACTTCTAGTCAGTTAGGTGATTTTAGACTTTATGGAAGAGGAAAACAGGAGAAGGAAGAAACAGAGGAGGAAGAAGAGGAGGAACAAAATCCTCCTCTCTGTCCTTTGGGAGATACCCTCTCTTTGCTCCCTGTGACTGCTTCATGAGCTCCAAGCAGCTCTCAGATGCCCTGGTGCAGGGCACTGTAGTCAGAAGTCCTCTCCAAGGAGGCAAGTGTGACCTGAGCTTTTGGGGACCTCCATCTCTGGGAGGAATCTCACGATGGGCTTGATCATGTAATGTCTACTTGTTGCTGTAGTGCAGAGTCGGGCAGATTGTCACGTGGGCATCTTCCAGGAAGGTGCTGAGCTGGGTCCCACGGACTCTCCTGGGTGTCCGCGGAGTGCCTGTTCCACAGAACTTGGGAGGTGGAACACAGCGGCCACCCGCCTCCGTTCCTGACACTGCTCCGAAGGTCCCAGTGAATGACATCACTTTGTCTGGCAGCTCATGTAGGTTCAGCCCAGTCAAGATAGGTCAGGGATATGTTTAAAAGAAGATGGTTGTATGTCAAACACCAAAAGCCACTGTTCAGCATCACCTGCACTACACTGAAGCAGGTGATGCCACAGGCCATGCGTGGCAAGTTGGGCTCCACGGGCTCAATTTGACCACTATTTTTTTTAAAGTTAAGACTAGTTCTCCATTTAGAAAAGATTGTCTATTTTCTCCTGGAAAAAGGCAAAACAAAGATGAATGCATAATAGACACCATATAGCTCATAATGCCTAGAATATTTACTCTCTAGCCAGTTATAGAAAAAGTTCGGCAACTCTGGGTGTACATTAAATACAGTTTTATTTTTGGTTCATCCGGGAACATCCTTCCCCTCCCCCACTTAAAACAATGCCTCTCAGAAAGACACATTCTTGACTCTACACAGACGACCGTGGGTCCTGGCCAGCTCATAAACTGAGGACTGTGTGTGCCTCGCTGCAGGTTTTGTGCCAAGGGCAGTGCTCGATGTGGAGAGGTAGTTTGCTGCCGACAATCAACATGTGCACAAGGAGTCCCAGGCTCCGAGAGCGAAGGCCAATTGCTGCAACTCCCTCTGGGACCTCTGAGGACCTTAAGGAGACTGCCACTCTTGGGCTTTGCCTTACATTGCACCTCAGTGAGCAAACCGAGAGCCTCCTGCCCTGCCTTTTCCCTCAGCTTTGTGACTCTGCAGCTGCCTATTTAGGGAGGAAGAACACAGTTCTGTGTGCCTGTCTGGATTTGCACTGTCCCGAGAGCAGTCCTGCGCTGCCCAGTGGTGGCAGAGAGGGCAGGAGAGAAGGCGCAAGCAGAGCTGGAGATGAAGAGGAAATGAGAGTGCCACAGGAAAGTGGACCTCAGGGGCGTTGAGATCTCAAAGAAAAAGGAGTCCGAGGCTGGGTGAGGGGGTTCAAGGAAAGCTTTGAACAACCCCCTCATTTCTTCCTATGCCAAGTACAGACCACAAGCCCTGCCTTCTCTTTCTATCAATCACAGAGGAATGACCCAGGACAGGTGAAATCGCTTTGACAACTGAGAAGTGCTCCGCATGGATAAGTATAGAGCTCATGCTGGGGTCTTCTGCCTTTATTTCTTCTCTTCACATTCAAATGCACTTATTGCATTCAGGCTATTTAAAATGCCAGTGTCTACATCATATTTTTCTCTAAATACAGTATACATTTGCTCTCTGGTTTTTTAAAAAACCTAATTGAGTCTGTGTTTCTCGTCATTTAGCAATAATCATTTCCAGCTTAAAATGTGCCCACGTGGATACAGACGGAGAGTAATGTAATAGCTCCCCAGTCTTGTGACAAGGAAAGGTAATTATTTTCTCTTTTGAAATGAATAAGTCACTAGCTTTTGGCTGGTCGCTTGCTTATGACTTGCAGCAAAGCATTAGGACAGCACCCTGCTTTGAGTCCTGTTTATGCTGTCTCCCCCTCCTCCACGGTCCCCACCACCTCTCAGCTGGCCTCTTCCTTCTATGTGGCAAAACCCATAATCTATGTTTCAGTGGCAAAGAAAAAATGAATTTTCCTGCATGGAGCAGGTAAGGTTCATTCTTAGCCACCCATATGACATTTGGGCCTCGAGAGCATGAACGAGATCATGCTGATGGTGACACTGGCAAAGGGTCAGCGTCCTCTGCTGAGATCCTAACCCGCTGTCCCGGCCCAGCCCCAAACTGCCATCTCCACTCACTCCTCCCATGAGGACTGTGGAGGGCCAGCGTCCACTAACGGCATTGCTTTTGGAAGATTCGGACTCAGCCCTGCTCCACAGCGGAGTTGATAGACACGGAGCAGGAGCAAACAGTGTTCCAAGGGGGCTCAACTGGAGCTGTGTACAGGTGCTTTCATGGTTAAAAGTCCTAATAGTGTAAAGAGAGATCAGAGCAAAGAGTGAGTAACCTCTGATGGCTCCATATTTGCCACCAGTGGCTTCTCTTTTGTCACCCTGGCTTTTGCTGGGAGAATTGGCTTTCTACCTGCCCGGCTTCCACCTCTTTGCTTTCTCTCTGTGCCGGTGAGCTGAGCTCTTTCCTTAATTAAGTTGACAACTATTCATGTGCAGAGGAAGATCTTTTTTTGGCAAGAGGACCTGAGCAGAACTTTCTTCAGAAGCAATGGAGAATGTTTTTCAAGCTGTGATTAAGTGGCTTTGTGATTAATGAGTGAACAATTAGCTGCCCAAATGATTCCTAAAATGTTCTCACTCCCAGGCTGAAACTCAGAAACACTGGGCCGGCAGGTCTGCGTGATGGTTCACATTACAGGGGTTGGGGGGAGCCAAGATGCTCGGACACGCAGCTCTTGTTTGTGAGAGAGGAGAGGGTGTGTTTCCTGGTCAGCAGCCCAGCTGCCGACCTGGCCGACTGCCTGGGTCTCTGGCTACCTGGAGATCAGCAGGCTGAGCCCTTCTCTCTTGGTGGCATCCATAAACTCACACACTTGACACATTCTCTGCAATTCCGATAGTCCTTCCCCTTCTCTTCAGTCAAGAAACAAAAAGAGTTGGAATACAGACGAGAGAGCATGATGTTGTATCTGTTTGCATTTATTTTTAGAAAAGGATATACTTCCTCAGCGTTTAACTGTGGATGTAGTGACTAATTCCTACACATCCCCAGTGTGTGTCCTGCCACCATTGAGCTTGCTGTTCTTGTCCAGTGCAGGCTCTTCTGCATTTCCTTCCTTCCTTCCTTCTTTCATTTCTCTTTGTCTCTCCCTCTTCTCTCCTACTTCTTTTTACACAGGTTGTTGTTATGTTGCCCAAGCTGGCTGAAAACTCAAGATCCTTCTGCCTTGGCCTCCCAAATCCTAGGATTGCCAGCATGTGCCACTATGCCTGGCCTCTTCTGCAGTCTCTCATATGCCACTTTCTTCTAATTTGACATTATGGGTATTCTATTTGATATTATTGCCCAGTCTTACCACACCCCAGGCAATTTTCCCTAAAGAAGTAGCACAGTCTGATAGCATGGTAGACAGCAGCCCTTCCCCATGATGGTCTAACCTGCTCTGGGATTTGGCTGGGTTGGAGATTCGGCAGCACATCTGCCAAGGTTATACATAAATCCCAGGGGAGCAAAACATTCTGAAGTTTGGCTATGGTTTGACATCCTCACATATCTAATCCAGATGGGAGGTCATTGTCCCTCACTGTGTATGGAGCAGGATGCTGTGGACAATGTGCATACTTAGCACTGGGGAGACCCAGGTTTCAGTCAGAGCCTCCTTGCCCTTGGCCAAGTCCTTCGTTAACTCAACCATCAGATGTTCATTTCTAAAACAGGAAGAGTGGAGCTGCTAGGCCATTAGAGCCAAGGATTCCTGACACACAATGGGACCTGACAGAGAAGGCTTAAGAGACTGTCTGCCATGGATGGACCAATCTAGGCAGGTGCTGAGAGAATTAGGAGCCTTCACATTTTGGAAAGCGTGAGATACACTAAGCCATTACACAGAGATGGAACTGGAAGAGACGTGAGAGAGGAAAAGGGAGAGGACTGTGATGAGTGAAAAGCTTTTCTGAAGCCCTTGTATAGTCTGGGGAAATTTATGACTAAAGAGATTTAAGGCCCCTCCTAGTGCACATAAGCATTGCAGAATAAACTCAAGTTTTGCCTATCCCATAATGTCACCGATCTTTGTGACGTTCAGGCAATCCCAAAGCAACAGCTTTTTATAACACATTAAGGAAGACATTTAAACCACTCTTACTCTGGGTAAATTCCTCCAGCTCCAAACAGAAGCAGTAAACATGGGAATATAAATATGACAATCATTTGTTTAGCTGCAACAATTTTAGATAGTTTTTGGCATACTTAAAGGTACAGATACGTTTGTGGATGAGGGAAAAGCAACTCAACTCGTGCATTGTTTTTCTCACTTTGTCACCGAATTCTGGGTACCATTGGAATGTTATGTCTATTCCCCATATGCTATGGGAAAGGGAAAGAATGTTAAGAGTTTTCCTCCCTAGAGGGAAGGGTACTGGAGAAGAGTGTAGCAGACAATTATTTATGGATAGCTTTACATGGACACAATTGTCATGGTTGTTATTTGATGACCAAAAGATTTTGTAGTTGTTTATTTTGATTAGAAGTGGCATTAACACTAACTTTCCGGTGTTCATAAGCTTTCCAGTATCTACTATGTAAATTTATCCATAAAGGTGTTTAATGGTCACATCTAACGGGGATCCTATTTTGAGGAAGACAAATTATGACCATTCTTTCCATGAGGATGCTCTTTCTGTAAGGGCAAGCCAAGGCCGAGAGTGAGTTTTAAATTTAGAATCTGAAAGAAGCTCTTCTCAGAGATGAGAGAAAGCAGACCAAGGCAGAAGATCAGGAGGCTTTCATATTCAAGCTCTCCCTAGGTGGCTGCCTTTAGAATAGGACCCCCACATCTGCTTGGACTGGCACAGGACTAGTAGAGTCTAAAAATCCAGCCAACTTCGAAGTGCCAGAATCCATGGTCTTACAACAAGGTCAGGTATCTATTTATCTTGTCAATAAGACACTGTCCAGGAAGCTGAGAAAACAGTCACCTTCAAACCCAAACACAGCCAGTCACAAAATCCACATCCACATCCCAACATGCCATCCACTGCAATGTAGAACGAGATTTACTTTTAGCAAGACTGAAGAGAATAATTATTTTGATGCAAGAGAGATGACTGGGCCATGATTTTTGCCAGGAAGGTTACATAACATCTCCAACCTGCTTTGAAATTCCTGGAGTAAATGACACAAATAGGGAAGGGGCCACAGAAATAACCAGTAGTTTTAGATTAGTGATTTTGGTCAGGAATGATTCCAAAAACATGAATCATATTTTAAATTCTCATTGTGGGATAACAGGCATATTTTAATTTTTACATAGCTTTCATCATCATTAGCAATGATCTGAGTTATTAAGATTTATCAAAATTTGGTATAGATGAAGCAAGAAATGTTGCCCAAGTTCCTGTAGAAAGCAGTGTGGATGAATTTGAGTGGGCTACAGGATCTTCTGCTGGGATAAACGTTTTTCTGCCCCCAAAATGTTTGCAAACCCCTGCTTTGGGCAATTCTTTGGTAACCAGTAAGTATGTGTTCAAAGCTAAGCACTGGTATCTTTCAAAGAGCAAGAAGGATGTACCTGGGTCTTAAGGCTCATCCCCGCATGCTATGGGTGAACCTCATTCACAATGCAGGCGTGAAGTAGGTGACAAGAACTGAAAGTCCGTATTTTGCCTTTTGAAATGTAAGCTCTGGGTTTTCATAATGGAGCTCAGGGAAAGGCAAGTAATTTGTCAAGAGGAGCTTTTCTAGGCCACATCCAAAAGGCTGTGGAGTAGCCTGGCAGCCACTAGTGTAGCATGAAATTACCACCCCCCAACTTGTGGATCTTTAAATATGATACAGTAGAAGCCTTTCCACATCTGACCTTGGAACAGCTGAAAGGATTTTTGACCCTAGCAATGAATTTGCAAAGATGAGCCTCATGTCTCTTGCATTCTCTTGGGAAAAGCATGCTCTCCGGATTGGTCCTCCATGCTCTAGACCTCAGGGTGGAGAATGAGGCTCCTTCACATTCTGCAACATGAGCGTCCCTCACCCTCATCTTTAGGGGATAAAGCAGTGTCCAATCAAAGTGCAGCCAAAGGGAAATCTCACTGTCTAATTCACCCAAGTTGAGATACTAGGTGCATCGGAAATGGTGGCGTTTTAAAACTCATTCTACAAGTAATGTGCCCGGGTAGTGGCCACCATCTCACAGTTCTGTCAGTAGGTTTAGCCTGGAAATAAAGTCCCCTCACTTCCATCAAGAAATAGCTCCAAACTTAGAGTGTATGCTCAAAATATTCATGATGAAATCATAATCCTATATTTATAGTCTTTTGGATTGTGTATGAAATTCTGTTTCCCATGGTAGTTTTCGTTGAAAGGGCCAGTTGTGGAAAGCAGACTTAGAAAATGAATGAGAATCAGGTGGACTTATTCTAAATCTGTGGGGAGACATCCGGCCTCTTTCCTGTTCCTCACTCATCGTTGCCTGATGAATTGGGTCTCCCCACCTCCCATGCCCAGATGGTGCCCTTGTTGAATGATCCTGTCTTTTCCTCCAAGAAGGGTGAGCTGTCTTTTGAGTAGGAAGTGGGAGGGCTCCTAGGATCGTCCCTTTCCTTGTGACTTTCCTCCCCTCTAGACTTCCTCCCCATTTTCACTGAGGGAGATGGTGTGGATCTTAATGGTTGGAACTTGGTGGTTTTCTCCAAGGTCGGGGGTTGAGGGCCCCACACAGCAGCAGACCTGCAAAAAGCTTTTACTCCTCACCCGGGCGGTGGTGCAGGTGGATTGGTCCTTGGGCACTGTAATCCTGGCAGATCCATGAGGCATGGAAGAGAAAAATTTCCATTCACAGACCCCATCGGTCTTGGAGATCTTATAGAAGGTCTCTCCAGATCCCACGGGGATGCGTACCATGTCCTTGTGCTGCCCCTCCAGGGCATGGCTGGGGGCGTGCAGGGTGTAGCCCAGGGTGTGCTTAGAAGATTGCTTTCTGCGGAGACACTGGATTCTCAAGACATTCTGAAAGGCCTTTTTGAATTCTTGACTGGAGCATGGGTATATGATGGGATTGATGCAGCTGTTTAGGTATCCGAGCCAAAATACTATTTTAAAAACGGTTTCTGAGGGCTTGAAATCAGGGAACAAAGACCCTAAAAGAAAACACACACAAAGTCATACATGTTATTTGCAAGTCAATAGGCCAACTGGCTAGGAAAATAAACCAACAAACATTTTTAAAATGTATTTAAAAAGTTGCAAATGATTCCAGATGCATATGAATTTCTCGCACTTGCTGGTAACCTCTTTGTAGCATCCTCAAAGGCCATTCTTACTTGGTCCATGCATAGCCATGATTATGGCAGCAGGCCCAATGGTTAGGGTTCAGTTGGCTCTCTCAGTGGTAGACATCCTCTGATGGTTTCTGTGAAGCCTTAAAAATTAAATGTTAAATTTTGATTGAGTTTAGATGGACAAGTTGTTTTGCCTGAATTTTAAAATAAGTTGGGATCTAATCAAACAATCCATATTAAAATTTGGTTACTTGAAAATACAATTTATATATCGCTTCTCGGCCTTTTGGCTAAGATCAAGTGAAAATACAATTTATATTCTGATACAGAGCTATACACAGACAGAGCTTAAATGTTCATGAATTTCTTTCCTCCTAAATGTTGGAGTTGTGTATTTCAATGAGAACTTCAAGTTCAAAACATACTGGCTTTGCAGATATATCAGCTTTCTGTCAGTGGGACAAAATATCTGACCTAGACCACCTGAAGGAGGAGAGGTTTATCTTGGCTCATGGTTTCAGAAGTTTCATTCTATAGTCTTTGGGCTCCCAGGCAGAAATATCATGGCAGCAGGCCATAGTGGAAGGAAGCTGCTTACCTCATGGCAGCCTGGAAGCAGAGAATGGAGATGCACCAGAGAGAAAGGGGGCAGGACTAGACATAGTTCTCAAGGTTATGTCCCTATGTCCCACTTCCTGCCAATAGGCCCCACCGCCTAATAGCCCATTCAGCTATGAGTTTATCAGTGGGTTAATGTATTGATGAGGTTAGCACTCTCAGAATCCAACCACCTCTTTGGTCTTCTCTTATCTAACTTGATTGACCATCAAGATTAACCATCACAGCAAGCTGTGGCCTGTGATTCTCAACCGTTTTTTCTTGTTGACACATTTTAATATTACAGTATGCTTCCTTTCTCAGTATCCGCCAACCACTCCCAAGTGGTCTTCAATTGCTTGGCAGTCAGAGTCTTTCCTAATCTCTGGCCTAGCCAGGTTTATAATATTATTGCTTCCTATTGATACAGTATTTTTTTTTACTGTCACTACAAACTTCTTTCCAAGTCATTGGTCATTTTTTTACCCTCTCAAGTTGGGCCACTGTGTCTTTAAAGTTTTTCCCCATCCTCCCTGTCTACCCAAACTGAACCATTGACTTGCACAGTGGGAGTCAGAGGCCAGGTCTCTACACTGTGCATGGTAACCACTGGAACTCATAGTTGCAGAATAACAAAACCATGGGCCTTAAAGTGGGAATCCTATCTTATTCAATTACCCAATTTCCAAACCAACCAACCAACCAACCAACATTGCTAAAAAACTATCACATACTTGATAGCTACAGTGTTAGTGCATTATAAGGATATGAAGACCTAGATCTCCTAGTTCAGACTTTTTTATTCTCCACTCCCCAGACTTGTAGTACTTCCTGCCAAAGGTACTTTGTGAATTACAAAACCCCAAATGTCTCTCTTCATTGCTCCCTGACTGGTGTGGAAGAACACCTTGTCTTGCCCTTCAACTCTTCTCTGTTCTTTCTTCACTTCCAAATTATCCCCTCTTCCACTGGCTTCCAGCTACAGTTTTATGTCCATTTGTGTGAGGAGCTTCGAGATCAGTCTTATACCTGTGGGCCTTGTTCTCTTCTCTGAAAAAATAAAAAGTTAAATGGATACTTTCTAATGGCCCCAACACAACATTTTTCTTTTACTTGATCTATGGTCTTGATTTTATGTCTTCGTTTTCCTTTCTGTGCTTTGAATCTATCAGAATCATGATGAAATGCAGGGTACACTTAGAAAGGACTGTGGAAAATGGTGCCCTAGAATTTAGTAGAAGAGTGAACTCATATCCAGTGGAACCCAAGAAAGACAGAATGGTGCTGTGGTTAATGGAAGCCCACATCACTGACACATTCTGCTTGTAAAGCTCAGCATGTTTCAGAGAAACCAACACACACACAGAGGCACATACACACAGACAGAAACACACACACACACACACACACATACACACACACATACACACACAGATGATGACTGTTCACTTATGAAAAGCATGTAAATAAGTAAGTTTTATTTCTTAGCTCCAAAGCTTTTGTCCTTGCATTGAAGTTTAGAGTTACTGGTTATCTATTTTGAGCTAAGCACAGTGCTGAGCACTGAACAATTTAATCATCATTAGTAGCAGTACGAGCTCTATGACTCCTATCAATATTCCTATTTTACAACTGAAGAAACTGCCATTTAATGAAGCAGAATAATTCATTCAAGGTCCTTCAGATAGTTACTGGTAGGGCTGGGGTTTTAAATTAGGCAGCTGGAATTTAAGGCCTTTTTCCTTCATGGAATCTCAAAATACATCAGAATAATGCATTTGGGCGGGGGAGAGTGGCATACAAGGAGTTTAGAGGTATGTGGTTGGGAGAAGCTGAGTTGGAAAGATACTTTTTCAAATTCCTTCTGAGAGGCAGAGAATGTGATCAATGTCAACATGATTACTGGCTTTGTGTGACTATGGTCATTGGAGAAAAAAAATCATCTTACTTTATGATGCCTTTGTATTGTCAGATATTTCTTCCTGATAGTGACAACAGTGTGACTAAGGGGACTTGCCTCGAAAACACCCACCTTCTCCTGTGCTTAAGAGCTACAAGTACAGATGAGCTAGGCATAGCAAAACCCACTTCATCTGGAATTTAAGTACTCCGTAAATCAGGCACAGGGTATTTCCCTTATTTGACGAATTTCAGTTAACAACAACAAAACAAGGCATAAAACATGAACAGTGAATGCGAATGCTACAAAAGTGATCTGAGAACATGGAAATCACCCACAATTCCTTCGAGGACACTCTTTCTTTTTTCAGAGCAGAGCTTTGAATTCATAAATATCTACTTCCTTTTAGTCATCTCCTTTCCATCCCTTCTTTGCTCCCTTACCTCCAGGTCTGGCTGACCCAGAGCTGAGCTCCTGGGTTCCCTCTTTACTGTGATCTTGATACTGCATCCCCACCAGCTGACATAAATAGTGGTCCTTCCCCTCCATGTCCTCCACTCAAAATACCCATTTGTTTCACTGCAGCTGAGGAATAGTGTGGAAATGAAGTTGGTCAAAGGCTAACTTTTACTAAGAATTGGATGTAATGTAGTCTCCATCCTCAGTCCTTTAGGGATATTTTATTGTTAATCAAAGAACATCTGTGGATGCTGGATTTTTCAGCCAATGAGTGACAGTTGCTTCCAGGCCAAAAAATATTCCCAAAATGGCACCATCTGGTTTATTCCCTTGAGTGTGTGACAGCATCCAGATGTGTCTGAGCCTAGTACAGATCTGCCCTCTCCCAATCTGACAGTTCCATGAGGGGCAGGTCACAGGAGTCATTTTCCCTGCTTGGAGTAGTCCTCTTCCCTTGGGAGGAGCCACGTGATTCTCTCTTTGCAGCTGCTGACCGGCTGCGTTGGGAGAGCGACTCAGAATGGTGCTTCCCTTAGCAACTTTCCAAAGAGGGAGAAAAGGCAACAGAGGGCTGCTCCTCGCATGATTGTCATTCAATTCCTCTTTCTTCCTTTCATTGTAACTTTCTTGGGAGGGGTAAATGGGGCTGGAATCAGGTTTGGGAAAAAGCTGCTGCAGCCTGTCCCCCTTGGAGTCTCCCATCTGGCTGCCTCCTCCTTTGTCCAAACGTTCCTCTCAGACAGACTCCTCTGACTCCCCATCACTTATGTCTTCAGCCTCAGTTGCTTCTTAGGTCCCTTTTTTCTTGATGATGGATGACACTTTTAAGAGTGAGAAGATGGCTGAAGTGCGTTGCTTCCAGTCCTCCACCCACTGAGGCATGGGGCTCCAGGGCAGAGCCAGATGAGGTATGGATGGATGTCTTGGACCCAGTCCCAGGTTTTCCGCACTTCTTGAGTAGACTAGACAGTTCTGTTCACTCCCAGGGCTTGAGAACCCAGCACTGCAGGGAGCTTGAAGACACCCCACAGTCCTGGTGGAGCTCAGCTCACCTCCTGACTGACTGCTTGGGTGACTGAGGCTTCTTGTCTTCTCCACGTTTCTGCTTCCCATTCTGACCTGTCATTTTCTCCTCTGCCTTTTGGCCAAAGCTTCTTATTTCTTTCCTTGACCCTGACTTGTCTGCTGTCTTATTTCCTCCCCCTTTTTTTTTGTGCACTGTTTCTGTCTAGTCTTCTAGTTTTCTCTGCATTCATAGTTCATCATCTTTTCTTTCCTTGCTGCACCATTTGGTATCTAACACTCTGGTTTTTCTCATCATGCTTCATAGGAAGTTCCAGACTTCTGAATTACCCACATGAGAACAGGGGCTCCTGTTTCCCTTTCGCCATAGCTATGTTTTGCTCCTCAACAACCTCTGGCCAGACTCCGCCTCAAGGGGAGGCAACAGCTCCCAGCTTAATTCCCTGAACACCTCACCTCACAGGTCAGGTCATTCTCTGTGAAATTTGCCTAGTTTAATTCTTGGCATTTGGAAAATCCCTCTATCCCTGAGAATACTTTCCTTCACTGAGTTTCCTTCCACATTTTAGCTGCTGTAGAATTTCTGATTTGTTCCTAACCCTCCAAAATACCCTGATGGTTTTAAAATGGGGATGGATAGAGCAGATACTTATGGAACACCACCATTAGGAACTCATGTTTGGAGATGCCCAATCTTTATTTAAACTGCAGAAGATTCTAGATCCTAAGGAGAAGTCGAAACTGATGATTTTAAATGATGCCTCTATATCTTGTCATTTCATGTCCTATCCACTGGGGGCATTTAACTTTTGATCTGGGGCCCATCAGGTGGGCTTATTAGGGAGAAATTAGGAATTAGGCCAGTAAAGTCTTGGCCACT